GACTTTTTTTTCAGAAATTTCCTCCTCTTTAAGGATCTTTTTTCTGATTGTCGATATCACTTATAGTTATTGAGTTATTAACGCAACAAATTTCTAACCGTGTACTTTGTATGAGTCGAGCGAATACTTATTATACAAATATTTTCGTCACTACACACTTAACTGTAAATCAGTAATATAATAAGAAATCAGCAAGTTAAAAATTAATTAAAAATGTCTAATTAAATGAACACAAACAATAAAAATCATGCATAAGGTTATTTTTTTAAATTTAATTTTTTATTAAAAAAATCTCGGTTTAGTTCCAAAAAATCACGTCGCCAACGTTGGCGCTACTTTCCAAACCAAGAGAAAGATTTACTTAGGATAAGTATATGACATTATTAGTTCAGGAATAAACATGAACTTGAAAGAAGAAGTAAATTTTGAAGAAAAAGATTTTCTTGAGTCAAGATGACTTTTTTTTCTGTGTACTGATCATTTATTAGAAAATTTTCTATATTAACCCTGATATGACTATATAAGGCCAGATATGTCCATATACGGTTAATTTCCATACATAGTCATATTAGATTCATTTTTCACGGAGAAAGCAATGAAGATAGTAGTTATCGTCTAATTTTGAACGATGTTCTGTAGCTTTAGCTGTCACGCTTTCCCAAATTGAACAACAAGCTATCAATCGGTAGAAAATTTATGCGTACTTGGCTTAGATCTGCTGGGAATAATCCACCTAGTATACTCCAGTCCAAAGCTATCAGATCACATCTTAATTCTTTTTTTAAACAAATTACGTCTTTCTCGGCGATCCCGATCAGAGTTTAATCAACGTCTTTGTTGGAACGCTGGATCTCTTGAGCTTCAGAGTTTTTCTAGTCCAACAGTCGCGAGCTACTTCAATCTTTTTCAGGACTCTATGCATTTTTTTCCGTTTCAGAAATTATAAACTAAAATTTTTTTTTTTATTATTTTCTATATCTTAACTTAATTTTTTTCCAACACAACAATTTAAAAAAATAATATTGATAATTATTGAAGCTAAAAAATTTGATACCTTACTAACTGTGATTTTTTCTTTTGTCAACAGACAATTGCAAATATTGATGCCAACGTGTCTAAACGAATAGAAAAATTATCGCAACACAATTATACTCTGCAGCCATACGCAGTGATTGTAGGACCAACAATCTACGATGTATCTCAGTCATTTGTATACGTGTTCAAGGATTATAAATATTCTGTATCGTCGCCGTTTGACGCTTTCATAAGCGTATTTAAATGCATCACGGCTCTTCATGCTGTGTACCTTCCTGAAATTATGCAAGTTTGGCAATTTATTCATCGAGCATTGTGGGATTTACCCTTCAATCCGAAAAAAGAACAAAGTTACAACAATGTTGAGACTCTTTTGAAACAATTTCAGAGATACAAAATTCAACAACCGTATTGTTTAAATTATACTAATACATAATTAGTACTTCCGTTGATCAAGTTACTCGGGGTAATAGTATTGCTTGATAAAATTGTGAATATACTATTAACAATTAATTTAAAATTATAACGATTGTATAACTTATATGATTGACTGATTTAATTATTTAAAAAAAAACTATCATTGATGTAATTGTTACTTTAACATTGTTAGAAGTAACGTGAATATTTATTTCAATAATTTTGTGTATTATCTAAGGAATACTTAACAATGCCGAGGTGTAGTACTTGTTCGTTAGATTTAACGTCAATTAAAGCTTTAATAACTCATATATCTGTGAATCACAGTGATGAGTTAAATAAGTATGACTGTGATGAAAGAGGCTGTAATTCAAGGTTTGATATTCTTAATTCTTATCACAAGCATTTGCGAGTTGCCCATAAATTTCCATCACAGCCTCCATCGACTAATAATCTACATCATTCTACACTTACTCGAAATGAGACTATTTTGTCTAATAGAATTGAAAATGAATCAGAAACCGGGACAAATAACATAAGTTGCAATGAAACATGCGAAAATTCTGAATCTTGTGATATAAATACGGTAAATTTTAAGTGTGAACTAGATAAAGCAGCCGAAAGATTTGTTGCAAAATTATATGCTAACCCACGCTTGCCACGTAACATTGTTCAAACGATTGTGGAAGATACGCATATTTTTATAGGTGATAAATTCTTAGGACTATTAGAGTCATCGGTGGACACTACTCATTCAAAATTGAACTGTCCGTCTGATAATCACAACAAAATCAAAAGTATGTTTAGTGACTTAAAAAATTTCGTTTGCTCACTTGAATACAGAACATCGACGCTTAGAATTTTTTAGTACTAATAACAAATATATAGAACCAGTTTCGTACGTAATTGATCGAACATTTGTGGTAACAAAAAACAAAGATGGAACTATCGGTAAATATGTTGACATAAGTGGTCAATATATTCCACTCACTCTTTCATTTAAAACATTTTTTGAAACAAACAATACATTAGATATAGTTTTAAATTATATGTCAAGTTTAGAGAGCGATACAACGGTTATAGAAAATTTCATTCAAGGTAAATTATGGGCTGAAAAACGTTCTAAATATTCTTATAATGATATTGTCATCCCTTATTTTTTAGCCGGTGATGATGTAGAAGTCAATAACCCTCTAAGTTCTCATTCAAGCAAAGTTATGCCTATTTACGCGTCATTTCCATGCTTACCGCCTGAGTGTAGGTCTCAACTGACAAACATTTTACTAGTTCTTATTTACGATTCATGGATACGTGATAGTAATAAAAAAAATCGCACATACGATATTTACCGACCGCTTATACAAGGAATTAAATATTTAGAAAAAAACGGCATTGAAATAAATACATCTACGGGTAAAAAAAAAATTTATTTCGTTTTGGGTCTTATACAGAGAGATAAGTTAGGGTTGCATGGATTGTTAGGTTTTACAGAATCGTTTGCAGCTACACACTATTGTAGGTTCTGTAAGATGAAAAAGAATGATTGTAAAAATGCACTTATTATTCCTTGTGAATTGAAGCGAAATAATGTAAACTATGAGCAAGATTGTTTAGCAAACAATATTTCAATTACAGGTATAAAAGAAAAATGTGTGTTTAACGGAATAGAATCATTTCATTGCACTAAAAACTATTCTGTTGATGAAATGCACGATGTACGAGAAGGTATTGCTCATGACGATTTAATTGCGATTCTCCGGAAATTAACTTTTGAAAAAAGTGATTGTTACTCATTCCCTTTATCTGAATTAAATGATCGATTAACAATGTATGACTATGGACCAATTGATTGCTCAAATAAGCCTCCTTTGATCAGAGAAGAAGATATTAAAAATGAGTCAAAACTAAAGATGACTGCGTCAGAATTAACCACATTTGTAAAATTATTTGGTATTCTCATCAAAGATTTAGTTGATAAAAGTAATCCTTGTTGGGATTTATATGTTTTACTGCCGGAAATATTCGATTTTACTTTAGCGAAAAAAGTAACGAAAGAACAAATTTTAGGTTTTGAATCAGTAATTCGTCGTCACCATCTATTATACATTGAACTAACTGGTAAGAATTTAAAACCAAAACATCATTTCTTGTTGCACTATCCAGAAGTATGTGAGCAGAGTGGTCCAATCTCTCATGTGTCTTCTATCCGTTCTGAGTCAAAACATACTCACTTAACAGGATCGGCTTCGGTAAATAGATGTAGAATTAATATACCGTTGTCGGTCGCAAAGAAACATCAATTAATGATGAATTTTCTAACAATTTCTGATAAATGTTTAATGCCGACTATCATATTCGGTCCTATAAGTCCCTTAGAACTAAATCTTTTCGATTACTGTAATTTACCTAATGTTTTACGAGATAGAAATATATCAGTCACTAAATGGGTCGAATTCAAAAACATTAAGTATACTCCAAAAATGCTTGTATTAGTGAGATATGAAAATTTGATGCCTGTTTTTGCGGAAATAGATGCCATTGTTACTGTAAATGATAATGTAAATAATGTATATTTACTTTGTAATTATTTAATAGTTCTTGGATATCATGAACATGTTGTAGGTTATGAAGTTATGCGTTCAAATTCAGTTGTTTGGATTAATATTGAAGATTTACGTAATATTTTTTCCTTATTTGTACATACATCCTTAGACGACGAACTTTATGTTATCTTAAATTATACTAAATATTAAGAAATACAGTTATTTCACGAACAAAATGTGTCGTTTAATTTTTTTCTTCCAGATTCAAATTTCAAATCTCATGACATCTCAACGTTCCGAAGTCCCAGGAAATTTTTTTTTACTAATTTTGTTATGTAGATTTACTAATTAATTCAGCTGATTAATTAACTTATTTATTAAATTTTCATAAAATACAAATATTACATACTCCGGCTAGTAAAATAAAAAAGGTCTCAGATCAAATGATGGTCGAAGCAAAGCCGTGGTCGACAAAGATAAGATTTGAGATTTTCATATTTCCTAGCCGATGTGTGTGCACGATTTTTCTGCTCGACGAAGCTGGACAATGGCAACTTCGTTTAGCTTAGTGGTCCAAAAGTTGCCTTTTTCGGCCAAAGGACAGAGAAAGTTATTAAAAATGTTAAGTGTTTAGATTTTTATGATATTTTTGATGAATAATAAAATAATATCTTAATTTGTCATAATATTTTATGATTTGTTTTGTATTATCGGGTAGTGGGCAAATAGAATAATCCACTTTTATTTTTCCTGAGTTTTCGTAAGCCGGTACTGGGGTACAAAATAAATTATTCTCGAATGTTCATATTGATACTTTTTTAAATATTAAAAAAAACTTTATTATAAAGCTTTGCTTAGTTGCAATCAAGTAGTAAGCCGATATCGGTGCTCTTACTTTAGTCCTAAAATGACATGTTGAAAAATTGTCCATTTAAAATTAATTTGAATAGGACTTTACCAATCTTATTCTTATCTTATTTACTACTTAATAATCTACTTAATTTACTACTTTTGTTATCTTATTTACGTACAGTTGAACTATAAATTAAAGCTTACATTTAATGCCGTAAGATGGACAGCGGAGTTCCTAAGATAGCCCACCTTTACAAGCATGGAATGTTATCCATACATGCTTGTAAATTAAAATAAAATTAATTTTTAAAAATATGAAAATTGAAAAAAAAAATTAATTATAATAGAAAAATGTCCATCTCAAAATAAAAATATTTTTATTTTAAATGTGAAAATTTCACATCGGCCATCCCCCTTAAAGCTGTAAAAAAATCAAAATTGATAAAATAATTGAAAAAATATCAGAGAATTAAGAGTAAAAATAGATTTCTGAAATTAAAAAAAAAATCGAAAAACGGTTAACCCTACAGGCCATTTTCGAGCTCAAAAACACAATTCCTACACTATAATTTTTGGCAATTAAATATTTCACAAACAAATCAATCAATTTTTATTTTAAATTTATATTTTATTACGTTAAAAATGATATGAAGAGAAATATCAAAATTACGTAAAGAAAAAAACACTTTTCCAAATTTTTCATCAACGATTTATTTCAAATCAATGAACTGATTCCAATGTGATTTGCGGAAATTGATGTTGTATTTTGAGATTAAGAGCTGATTTGATTTTTGAATCTAGATGTACATTAGTTTATACTAATGTTTAAACAAGTTATCGCGAAAAAACACTTTTTTGAAAATTTTATTGGTGAGATTTCTCAAAATCTACTGAACAGAATTGATTAAAATTCACATGAAATCTATTGGTAAAGAAAATCTTTCAAATACTGCCAATCGCGTTTCAATTAGTTTAGTCATTTAAAATCTATATAAGGTTTACGCGCAAATACGTGCGCGTGCACACATGCAAGTATGTGCATACTTACACAGACACATAAATACATACATACGAAGACATCCTCATAGGAATAGTCAAAACAGCGTCTTAAGACTTCAAAATGTGCAAATTTAATGAGAACTTAATTTTTACAAACTGTGGTCAAAACAATAAATTTTTGATTTTTTTTTAATTATTTATTTCTAAGTGGGAAGTTAAAAAAACTAGCTGCAATGTACCCGGTGCTGTATGGATAAACATTTTTAAACTTAACCAGTGCATTTAAGACTGATTCTTATTATTTTTAACTAATTTAATGCAATTAAATAAATTTTGTAATTTTCTAGAATATTTAAAAAATTTTGAGAAAAATTCATCACATTTTAGACTGATTAGAATTCATTTTCAACTTGAAAAACATTTGCATAATATTAAAACTATTTTTTTACATGTTTATTGTATTTAATTTTTGAGCTTTAGGGCCAGTTTTTCAACCCCGGGTTTAAGTATTTTATTATTGTGAATATATCTATATATCTATTATATATAGATATATTCACAATGATAAAATACTTAAACCCGGGGTTGAAAAACTGACCCTTAGTGGTTCTCACAAATAACCCATTGAGTTTTATTATACACAATCATTTTCGTGATAAGCTTTTGAGGATTTGGAAAATATTTTGGCAACAAATTAGCTTGGTTATTGCAACAAAATCACTTGGTAGTAGTAACAAAATGATTTTGTTAGAGCAACAAATTGATTTCCTATTATTTCTCGATGGTTGGAGTACTCCCTTTTATTTTTTTTTTTTTTCTCGCATATTCTATACACTCACATTAAGAAGTTCCTCTCCACAATCTTTTCTCAATCCTTTCCTATCAATTATCCCGTTACGTGAATGTTGGAACGCTTCACGTAATAATTATCCGTAACTCCTATTCTTTCCCGCTTCACAGCATTATTTATATTTGTTAACAAATGCTAGTTTGTTAATTTTTTGTGAGATTTAAGTGACGTAGTCACTTACAGCACAAATATAAGAGTACAGGAGCCACGAGTAGCATTTAACATTATATGCTACTCACCACGAAGAATAAACTACGTGAGGTAGTTTAATAGGATTTGTAGGTGCTACATCAAAACAAATCTACGTCCCTTTCTATAGAATAAGTGAAAGGAAATTTAGTATAGACCGGATAGCTCAAATGGTAGAGTAGCCGACATGTCTTCGGAAGGTTCTGGGTTCGAATCCCAGTCCGAGCTATCTAATAATTTTTTTCTCGCATATTCTATAAACTCACATTAAGATGATCCTCTCCCCAATCCTTTCTCAATCCTTTCCTACCAATTATCCTGTTACGTGAAGCGTTCCAACATTCACGTAATAAATATCCGTAACTCCTATTCTTTCCCGATTCACAGCATTATTTATATTTGTTAAAAAAAAAA